ACAGTTTACAGGTCAGGAGCAGGGGGTTTAGACAGTATTGGAAGAAAAACTCACTCAGATGGTTATGGGTATCTGGAACTCACTGTCTTAAAGGGGTGGTAAAGACAGGAACCTTCAAAATATTTAAGATTTATTTGTAATGACTACTTGAAACGCCAGAGCGCACAAGGCTTTAGGCCAAGTGCTGGAAAATGCGATTAGAATACAAGGTAAACACGATGGGCCACACGGCCTCTGTCCGTGCTTCAAAAACCTCTATGACCACCACTTTCTCCAGGGCAATTAGGGACGAGCAAGAAATGCTGTCCCAAACCAGCTATGCAAATATCCCGCGAATGATAACAAGGTGTAGAGCTGGATGAACACAGCAGGCCGAGGAGCAGGAAAGCTGACGTTTCGGGCCGAGACCCTTCTTCAGAAATGGGGGAGGGGAAGGGGGTTCTGAAATAAATAGGGAGAGAGGGGGAGGCGGTTAGAAGATGGATAGAGGAGAAGATAGGTGGAAAGGAGACAGACAGGTCAAAGAGGCGGGGATGGAGCCAGTAAAGGTGAGTTATCCCGCGAATGATCTTGTTTTTAAGAAACAAGTTTGGTACCTTATTGACTCAATTTAACTAACACAGGAGAATTGTACACAAGTACCACCAACACTATCTCAAATTTTACTGTATAATTAAACCAACTAAGGGCGCGGCTAACTAAAGAAAGGTGTTTATTTTAAAAAAAACACTGACAAGCCTACTCCAGCAGACCATATAATTTGGTTCCTAAAGTGGATTCGGGAAGTTCGGTACGATCGCATTCTGAGGAGAATGAGCTGAAAACCGCATACAGCCTGTTTCCAAGCTCCAGTTGGACCTCCCTGGGACTCCAGTTGCAGCAATGTGAGTCGTCTCTAGCAGGTTAGTTGTAAAAGAAAATTCAAAACAAGAAAGCACTCGTTTAAATTTTGTTCGTAATGTCGATTTCCTCACGGACACGGATGAGACGCTGAACTTTTTTTTGGGGAAGAGGCTCCCGCCCCTCCCCTCTCCGCTCCCACTAACTTGTTTACGGAAGAACGAGACTCTTGATGGACGGCCCGTCCGACCAATCGAAGGAGCTGAAACTCAATAACCAGCGGAACTGGAGCAATCAGGGGGAAGAGTGGGCGGGTCGTCTTCCATCCTCCCCGCAAACCCGCCCAATCTGGACAACCAGCAGGTTTGGTTACGCCGAAGCTCCCGGCGCTGGGAAGGCCTGATCCTGGAGACTCGCGTAAAGCCCCCTCCCCCCTCTACCGGCTACACTACACTGGCGGATAGCCAGGCTCACCCGCACTCTGACCCACCCTTACCCTAGAGAAAAAAAATTACATGACAGAGGGGAAAACGGACAGACGCAAATGATTAATTCGCTGCGAATAATAATAACGAAAATAAATCGAGAATCAACCGACGTACCCAGAAATGATCGACGAACTGCGACATCTTGGAGCCGTCGTCGCCCGCTCCTCCTCCTCCGAGATGTTGGCCTGCTCTCGGTTTCACAGAGACAGGGAGTAAAGGAACGATTTTTTCTGTTGGCTGTCGTTTTGTTTTCTTTATTTATAGGAAACGGAATATTGTTTTTCTTCCCACCTCTCCAAAAAAAAAAGGGGCTCCTCCGGACGCACGGTGGAAAATTTCAGCGGCACTGCCACTGTCCGGCCGGCCCCAGAGCAGCCTGTCCGCACGGCGCATGCACGAAGACGAGCACGCCCAGCGCGCGACCCCGCCGCTCCGCCTGCGGGAGGAGCGCGGAGCTCGCCATGAAACGGCGTCTGTCTGCAACAGATTATAAAGAGAATCACGAGACGGCGGTGGGGGAAGAGAGAGAGTGTGTGTGTGTGTATGTGACCTCTTCCCCCCACCCCCTTCCCTAATTCACTAGCTCCGGAAAATAAAAAGGTGTAAAACTGAAATATAGCACCAGCCCAGCAGCTGTCACACACGACAAAGTCAAAAATCATCATCTGATCACACCTAACAGGTCCCTGACTGAACAGTATCTAATTACGCAAGATTTGACAGAGTGTCCTGGGTTGGAGAAAGAAAGAATGGTGAAGAATGAATGGCAGCAGAAATTCGCCGTGTTACTTCGTCTGCCTCATTTGATTTGTTCTTCTACACGTGTACGTGCTCTAATTATATATTGTTCAGCTGGTTTGAGTTTGTTAATACAGTGCTGCTGCCCATAATTTCGTTATGGTGAGATGCCTGCTGCTTACTGCATCTATTAGGTTATTACTGCCGACATTAACGTGTTGCAATGTTAGTGAGTGCTCTCGTTCTTCTTGAAAGTGAGTCATGTGGTTTGTGTGTGGTTTCTGTGGATTTCGTTTTCGTGTCAAGTCAATAAAAAAATTCTTTAAAAAGCTCTAATTTCCTTCAGGTTTATTAGAGGGTTTTTTTTTCCATTGCTATACCGTTGTATTAGCAGCTTCGGCATACCATCAGGTTCGTTAGAAACATGGAGTAAAAAATTAACATCGTACCGATCTTGATATCTATGAGAGATAGGTAAGTAACAACAAGAACTTGAATTTATATGGCACCTTTTATTATAATGCCTTTCTGGGCCTTTAAAGCAAAAATTGTAACCAAAACACAAAGAATGCTGGGTATATAGTTAGCAACGAAACATCAATTTGCTCGTGATTGAGAGAAGACCATTGGTCGCTTAAGCCCGAACCACCCTTCAATAAGATAATGGCAGATCTTGATTGCAAGATCATAAGACATACAAGCAAAAGTAGGCCATTCATAGAACAGTACAGCGCTGGAACAGGCCCTTTTCAAGCCTATCTCTATGCCGACCACGATGCCATACTAAACTAATTTCATCTGCCTGCACGTGGTCTATATCCCTCTATTCCCTCCTTGTTCATGTGTCTAAATGCCTCTTAACCATTGCTACTGTATCTGTTTCTACCACATATGGCAGCACATTTCAGGAATCAACCACACAAAACATCCTGGTAATTTTTTTTGTCTTCACCAAAGCCTCCCTATCCTTTTTATGGAGTGGCAACCAGAACTGGCACTCAATACTCCAAATGTGGCCTAACTAAAGTTTTATACAGCTGCAACATGACTTGCAAACTTTTACATGCAATGCTGTGACCAATGAAGGCAGGCATGCTATATGCCTTCTTCATCACCTTATGTGCTAGTGTTGCCACTTTCAGGGAACTATGGACTTGCACCTCAACATCTCTCCATATATCAATGCTAGTCCTAGACTCTCCCGCAAGGGAACACAACCTTTCCACTTCTACTTCGTCCAATCCCAAGCGAAATATGAGGTGCTGGGTATTGCAGGAGGCCCAGGATGGACATGTCGTCTAAGGAATGGGAGGGGGAGTTGAAATGGTTCACGACTGGGAGGTGCAGTTGTTTAGTGCGAACCGAGCGTAGGTGTTCCGCAAAGCGGTCCCCAAGCCTCCGCTTGGTTTCCCTGATTGTAGAGGCCACCACATCTGGCACAGCGGATACAGTATACCACATTAGTACACCGCTTTGCAGAACACCTACGCTCGGTTCGCACTAAACAACTCTCCCTCCCGTTCCTTAGACGACATGTCCACCCTGGGCCTCCTGCAGTGCCACAACAATGCCACCCGAAGGTGGCAAGGACAGCACCTCATTCCACTTGGGAATCCTGCAGCCCAATGGTATCTATGTGGACTTCACAAGCTTCAAAATCTCCCCTCCCCCGACCGCATTCCAAAACCAGCCCAGCTTGTCCCCGCCTCCCTAACCTCATCCCGCCCCTTTGACCTGTCCGTCCTCCCTGGACTGACCTATCCCCTCCCTAACTCCCCACCTACACACCTTTACTGGCTCCACCCCCGCCTCTTTGACCTGTCTGTCTCCTCTCCACCTATCTTCTCCTTTATCCATCTTCTATCCGCCTCCCCCTCTCTCCCTATTTATTTCAGAACCCCCTTCCCCTCCCCCATTTCTGAAGAAGGGTCTAGGCCGGAAACGTCAGCTTTCCTGCTCCTCTTATGTTGCTGGGCCTGGTGTGGTCATCCAGCTCTACACCTCGTTATCACACCACATCTACTGTTTACTTTCACCTGTTCTATTTTTTACTTCCCCAAATAAACTAATAAATTAATCACACAAAATTTCCATTTCACAAAACCTGATTACATTGTTTCTAAGTGCCTAGCTATAATCTTCTTAGTATTATATTTTGTTATGGTCCATCTATCTTTGTCTCCCTCTTTTTTTTTGAGCAAAGGCATTATATTTGCTATTGTCCAAACTGATGGAAATTTTTAGAATCTAGGGGATTTTGTTTTGAAGTAATAAGTAATGCATTTACTGTTGTAACAGTCACTTCTTTTAAGATGCTGGGTTGTAGATCATCAGGAACTTGTCAGTCTTTAGCTCTAAGTTTTCTCAGTATCCTTTCCTTCCTGTTTGTCATTGTTTTAAGTTCCTCCGTTTCTTTTATTTCTTGATTTACAGGTATTGGTCGAATATTATGTGTCTTCTACAGTTAAGACAGTCACAAAATGTCTGTTTAACACTTGCCATTTCCTTATTTCCCATAATAAATTCCTCAGACTCTCTCGAGGACCAACATTCAATTTAGTAATTATTTTTCTCTTGAAATACCTGAACAAATTTTGTTTCTACATTTCTAGCAAGCTTTCTTACAAATTCACATAAGTTCTCCTGTCTTCACATACCACATCTCAATAATAGGCAGAACATCATTTTTGCTTCATGACTGTGTCCTGTTAGTGGTAACTATAGCATTATGGAAGGATGAAACAGCTAACTTCACCCGTTGCTCAAATCTTTAAGATACTTTCTGGGGTAAACTGAGGTAGACTGAACACTTTCCAGGACAAAAACAACTTCCTTAAGGCCTTTAATCAATTTGTGCTATATACAGGAGGAAATGATTTGATCAAGGTGGCTTTGCTATGCTCCCCATTCCAACATGGGTTGAATAGTGAACAAATGGATTGGGTCCTACTTACATACACCCAATTGCATCAGAGATAACAATATGTACTGCATGAAAAAGGGTGCCAATAGGTTGGTAAGTGTACTTTGGTCAAGGTGTGGCCATGGAGAGTCCTTTAAAAATAACGAGAGAAGGAAGGCACAAAAGCAGAATTCTGGCAGGCAGAATTCTGGCAGCATCAGTAGACAGAAATCAGAGTTAATGTTTTGGGTCCAGTGACCCATCTTCAGAACTGAAAGGAAGCTGTTTGCACCACCACATGAGATTATTGTCTCTAATGGAATCTTCATTTACCCTGCACCATCTTCCCAAAAAGGAGTAGAACGTAATCTACATTGTAATACAAATAGGCAGCCATTTCATTAATTTCAGTGTCATTTTAGTTAAAAACTACATTTATTTTTAAAAGTACAGTCTGTCTCCAGCTGATGAATTAAAGATTGAGATGTCTGAAACAACGTTCTTCCAAATTTGTAGAGGAGGATCAGAGGCAATTTCTCAGATTTTATCATGTAGAACTGAAGTTACACCAATGCAGCATCCAACTGCCTCTAAAATTATTCCAATGATTTAGCTCCACTACTCCAGGTATTAATCATTCTTCTTCCTGACATGACTATCAAACCTGCCTTTTACTAGATTCTACTTATATCCATTTGTCATAAAGTGATGGTTTATCATTAAATTCAGTTTATACATGTCAGCTCTGCTCAGAGCAATCCAATCAATTCCATTCCTTCATGCTGTCTCCATTGCCCTGGAAATCTGTTTCTCTTAGCCATCCAATTTCCTTTAGAAAGCATTCTTTGTCTTCACCTGCACGACCTTTGGCTGTGTCACGTTCCAGGTCATTACCATCCAGCATAAAAAACGTTTTTCCTCACATCACCTCTGTATTTTGCCTCAAAATCTTAAATTTCTGTCCACTAGCCCTAGTACAACCAGAAACCTTTTTTTGTTTACCTTATCTAAAAACTTGTCATAATCTTTTACAAATTATTAAATCTCTGCTCAAACCCCATTGCTTAAATTAGGTCAGCTTTTCCAACGTAACTGTCTGGTTCTAGAGATGAGGGATTTTAACCAATGTTTCCTGTTTATCACATACTATAAAGGACAAATGAGTTTTTTTTTTCACGTAAGTAACCAAATAGAATAATGAGGGCAGAGCAGTAGATGTTGTTTACATGGACTTCAGTAAAACCTTTGACAAGGTTCTGCATGGTAGATTAATTAACAAGATTAGATTACATGGGATTTAGGGTGAGCTTACCAATTGGATACAAAATGGCTTGACGATAAGAGACAGAGGACAGTGGTGGTGGAGAGTTGTTTTTTGGACTGGAGGCCTGTGACCAGTAGTATTCCACAGGGATTGGTTCTGGGTCCTCTTTTGTTTTTCATTTGTGTAAACAATTTGGATGAGAATTTAAGAGGTATGGTAAGTTTGCAGATGACAACCAAAACTGATGGTATTGTGGACAGTGAAGGTTATCAAAGATTACAAAGAAATCTTGATCAATTGGGTCAACGAACTAAGTGGCAGATGGAATTTAATTTGGACAAATATGAGGTATTGCCTTGTGTTATCAAAAGGGCAGGGCTTAAAGAAATAATGGTAGGGCCCTGGGTAATGTTGTAGAACAGAGACACCTAGAGGTTCAGGTACACAATTCTTTGAAATTTGTGTCACAGGTAGTAGACAGGGTGATTAAGAAGGCCATCGTTCAGACCTTTCAGTAAAGGAGTTGGGACAT